TAACGATTTTCCACATGTATGAAGATAATTTTATTTTTTTGAATTTCGAAATTCGTTTTCCATCATACATTTCCATCTAACATTTAGCTTTTATTTTGATTATCGATATTCTGTTACATTTCATTGGCAAAGCTGCTTCGAAGTCTTCAGAATCTAACGGCTCTTTGGACTCTCAGATGTTAGCCCTACAAGCAGAGGGAGCGGTTAAAGTGTATTTACTGACTGTCAGCTCCCTCTTGATGTCAAACCAATCTTTGACATTCCCTGCAGCGTCGCCACAGGATTCTGCCATTTTGGAAATTTCAGTTTCCGTTTACAATCTGTTCCAAATATTGACACCCGATATCTTGCCACGGAAATTTCTATCCCTGAATCCTCCCAAATGCATCGTTCCTCCAGCCTCTGGAACTCTTCCCGGCTGTTCGATGAGAGTAAAAGTAGGGTAGGCGTTTTTTCCATCAATGAAAAGACTAATGATGCCTGTGCTGCTTTCTCTATTGACACAGAATAGGTGCCATTTATCGTCTTTTTTGAACTTCAGAAAGCGTCCACCTCTAGGTTCTTTACTGCAAATCAAATAATAAACATTAAATCTGCAGACAAATTACACCTAACACATTTATCATGTCGAGTTCACGCGACATCAGGGATTGGATGAGGGCTCTCGGTCAATCAGAAGCGGGATAAAGAGTAAAATGTATAACAATACGTTTTTTCATAAATGATTTCATACTATACCCTTTTTCACCAATATAATAATCTATGTGCACTTCGTCAGATACAGTAACTGAGATTTGGAACAAGGTGTGAGCTGCACCCTTGTTTACGTAATCCAAAGCAAAATCATTTCTGTCCTCAGCGCCTTGGGTGTTAATCCAAAAGCAGATGGCCATCTCGTTTAGGGTTGGAAAGCCAGTTATGTCGGAATGTTCAAGTCCTGTATCCTGCTTGAATTTCAAATCGAAAGACTCTGTCGAAAACCAAAAGTGCTATTTTTAAAAAAAAGACATATACATTAAATATCATGTGAGAGAAAATCTTCATACCCTCAAGACTTACCCATGCAGTTTTTTTGTTTATTTGGCTTTTGTCCAGCAGGACACTCGGTAATACAGACATCACTCTGATCTTTCGCGTAGCGACATTCATTACATTCAGACGCTTTTGGGTTACCTTGCGAACGAGACTTGCATCCTGAAATATATAACTTTTTAGGCACTTCATCTCCTTTTTTCATTGTTTTTATACAGTTGTTGTTTTTTGGTTGAATTTTACTTAACTTTACTTTTCCCATCTTTATCTCCTCCCTCTTTTTTCCTCTTTTTTATTATTCATGCTTTTCCTTTTTTTCTTCCTTTCAGTTTTCATGAATTAATTATTTCTCTTTTCTCCTTCCCTCCTTCTTCTCTTCTGTTCTTTCTTTACAGTTTCTTTCCGTGCTTGGTTCCAATCCGGAACACAGACTTATGTGGACACGCTGCAATAATCTTATTATCGAACGACGATCGATATGACGGTCTTATGATTCATACATTTTCCTAACCTGTTAAAGGGGCACAAGCTTCGTGACATCTCTGTACACAGTTTGGCTCCTCCTTATCTCTGTACGTATCTCCTTTACATTCTGAGGTGGTTAGCTTACGAGATACAACATGAGAGTCTACTATTTGTGCTGATTCTTCTCCATTAGCAAAGGAATAAAAGCGAACATGTAGCGGCTGATCGTGATCGATCATGGTCAAGTAGACATCTCCACTGTCGGTGGTGCCCTGGGACTTGCCATACTCAATGACGGTACTTGTTGTTGACTCAGTAACACAGACAAAGTATGACTGGTACAAGAGGGCGTCTCCTAAGGCTACAGCATTGGTATTGACAGTAGATACTTTAAGTCGTTGTGACTAAAAAAGTGAAAATTTAATGTTAAAGTAAACCATCCTTTCTTATTGATGAATGTTTTGTATACACAGAGCAGCGTTTCCAATCTAAAATATACATGGACTATTAGGGTGTTTTGCCTATGTTTGATTTTGTCAAAGCCGACATTCGGATGATTTGTACAATACATTATCTTTTGCTACATAATTTAATAATTTATAAAAATAGCATTGCTTTCTCTGTTCTTTACTGGGTCGGAAACCTTGTTATTCCATTCATTCTTCTCTCTTCACTTGAAAAACTGATTAACATAAAAATAAAGTTAAAAAGGTATCACTAACCTTGTAGATGGCAACTCCAAATGGTGATATCTCGACGTAGTACCAGGTGTCCTTGTTGCTGGGAACTGCCGAGAAAACTACATACAGAGCACCTTTTGTAGAAGCTGTGAAATGAAGGCACTTGCCATCACGGTCACTTGGGTCAAACCTGAGCCCGTTCGACCACTGGAGATTACACGGTAAATGCCCTAAAGCACGTTGATTTCTTTCTGTGAAAGAATTAGCTGTTGGCCACTCGACCCTTGCGAGCTGTCTTCCCTTCAAAAGTTCACTAAGTTCTGGAAAATACCTTTGAGATACTGCATAATCTGCTTGGTTTAGAGTAAGACTACCTTCGCTTTCGTCATACTGCAGAACGAGACCAAATATGGAGATTTTCTTATTGGATTTGTCACCACTTCCACCATTGTTAAAACCATCATAAAGATGAAACTCTCCATTTCCATTGGTTGTATACCATTTTCCTTGACTGATGAAACCAATTATAAATTAAACGATCAGTTCAAGAGAAATATCGGCGATATTTATCAATAAACTATTGAGCTTTTTTCCTAGAAATGCAACTTTTGGTTTTCGGATCTAGAATTCAAGATATGGAATCTCAAATCCAAGAAGTGGAATTTAGAGGCCAAGATTTGGAGTGTGAAGTAAGGACTCCTTACTATCTAACAACGAGAAACGCGATAGACATACCGACAACCGATTGGTATGGTGGGGCACTGTCTTTTGTATGGCATGCGCACGTTTCAATTCCCGCTGCCGACCAGGATTCATAGTCTGAAAAATATTCTAGAAGAGGCACTAATGGGCTCTAAAATATTTGCATATCTTTCGGCGTGGCTCGGATGACCACCTAAAACAGGCTTAAAGATCATCAGTGCTTTAAAACATGTTAGTGCTCAGCTTTACTTTTACCTGAATTGGACGATCCTTGACATGGACTTTGGGATATCTATGCCACCATGAATAGCCCCTTTAAGGTCTTCCAGCATGTCAAAAATCACATGAAAGCGTTTGGGGTTATTTGTCATCTCGTTCCAGGAAGGCTTCGTGGTTTCTGATTGATATTCAGGGTTTCTACTTTGGCACCCGGCTTCTCCAGCGGGCAGACTGACATCAGATATGGACATGGTGCCCTAGAGTGAAAAGATGCAAAGAGCCGATTGAATTTATTCTTTAAATTGTTTCTTTGTAGCTTTTTTTGTATTGGTTTGCTGTTAAAACTACCTCAGAAATATTAAATTGCCGAAAAATTCCAATGACTCTGTCTTCAGACTTTAATTTACTTTGTTGTCCCACCCTAAATTCCACCAATCCTCACCCATGTTTCTTATCATTAGTCATTGATAGGTAGGAAGTAGGTCTGTATTATGAAGGTTATAAACTAACGTCAAAAAAGTACTTGATGAACAGTTATTTAAGTTATTGAAATACACCAATTTCCAAAAAAACGTTGTCAACTCAAAAGGCGACAGGCGATAGGTCATTCCGAGACGGGAATGGTTTCGTCGACTACAAACACCAAGGTCCATGTTCTTGACGAGAATAACAAACAGAAACACGAGTCATTCCAGCTATTCTTGAATCTTGGAATAACCTATTTCATTGCTTTTCGCCTATCGTATATTGGCTATCACTTTTTTGAAATAGGTATATCATTTTAAACATTCTTTACTAACCTCTTCCATGTAGACTTCAATCGCTCTTTTCAGACTCACGCGTTTGCGCTTTAAACTGTATTCCATCTCCTCTCGACTTGAGAACTCACAGTAGACTCTTTTTTCTAGGTTCATGTAGTAGCTCTTGCCAGACTTTTCGTCATTAATTAGTTTGTCTTTATTGATTTCGCATCCCCATACGATGGTTTCGTCAGGAAACAAATCATTGCCACGGAAATTCAACAGATCAGTGACAGATCCCATAAGGAACTTGAAGGCCTTGGGGTAGGCAGGGATGCTTTCAAGCCAAGCCT